ATCAGAGTACATCAAACAGTCCAAGTCATACATGGATAAGACAGTCAGTCATCAACGTCTTTCAGTTAAGGGATAATCCCAATAACGTAGTCCATAATCATATAATCAGTCCGGTACTCAAAGTTTGCTAGCAGTTGCAAAACTTACAATAGCTCACGGCACTCAGATCAGATCAGCCCAGCATCTGACAAAACAGAGAGAGAGAGTGCTAACAGTCGTTCTGGCTCCCTCTTTATGGCCAATTGAGGAAAACATCAACCAATCACATTTTACAGTATGCTTTAAAGAAACAGGTACATCATTGTTACATGATTTATATATTGCCAACCCAACCATTAGATTATATTGCTAACAAAGTTGTCCAAATGAGTGACACTGTGTACTTCAGGATTTTGTAGTTACTGATGCATGTGTAAACTTTTTTCTTCTTTGCCATGAATATCTCACCATTTGGTTTGAGTGACAAATCTAGTAGTATGAAAAGAGAAAAACCGTCATAACCTTTCCTTACAAGGCAGTTATTTCAGCAGTTCCCCCCCCCATTTTTTTTACCTTTTCCTGCACTTAAAAAAAACGGAAGCATTTTCCAATATCTCCCCTCCCTCCCCGCTGAAAGGGTAGCCAGAATTGAATAACATATTCCAAGTGTCTCCCTTCATAGATGTGCTGACAGTTTTATATTTGGTTCTTTTCTTAAGAATCCCCAGCATGAAATGGGTGCGTCTTTCACAGGGATTCTTTTATGCCTATGTGGCTGGAGGTTGTAGTATAATATTTGTAATGCAAAACATGCAGAAGCCAGTCGGCTATTTTACTTCTGTAAATTTTATCTCTGAAAGATAGTTTTGTACATCATTTTGCTTAAAGCAAGCTGGGAGAAATTCCAGTTTGATATCTAAATGAGCCCCTCAGGTTTCTTCATCCAGTTCCAGGGCTGTCCTTCCTAGTCAGAAGAGAAAATAAAACTCAATAAGGTGAGGGACAGATGACTCCATTCCCGGGAACTGTTCTTTAGGTTATTGTTGGGTTCTTGGCCACTGCCACTTGTCAGTTGAATAAAGGCTGGGCAAAGAGGAGTGACTCCTATAATTTTAGAGGAGAGCTATGGTTGACATTTGTTTGACATCCTATTCTCTGAACAAGGCATCTGTGGCATTGGGCATTACTCATTTTAATGTACGTCTTTTGCTTTTTCATTGCTTCAGATTTTGGACCGTGTTGCAGATGGGATGGCTTATGGAGCTCTGCTTCCCTGTGAAGAGTGCAAAGGACAGTTTGTGTTCAAGAGCAATGCCTATTACTGCACAGGGTATATTACAGGTTGGACCAAATGTGTTGCCAAGACACAGATGCCCAACAAGAAAGAATGGAAAATCCCAAAGGTAGGCTGGGAGGCCTGCTATGACTGTTATCACATTGATTAACATTGTTTATGAGATTGTATAAGAGAAAGAATTCCACCCTTCTAGCCTTTTTCTTTTCTTCCATTTCTCGCTCTGCCGAAGACCTTCTGCCAACACTCTTGAAACACTCACACCATCTCAGTCCTTTCTCCTTTTTATATAAGGAAGTTGGATATGAATTCAACTTTCCTGCTCCTACCTCCAGTTACAGCAAGACAGGGAAGCCAAGGAAGTGCATATCTATCATCCAAGGTTGCCTTCCATTGTCGACAAAAAAAACATGGCTTGCTAAGCCTGAGCCTGAGCATGGCTCGATTTTGATGAAAAAATAAAATGATTTGCCTCTGAACTGTAGCCAAGAAGCTGTTGGTTGAACAGCATTGATGGGGGATAAAGCCAGACAGTGATATTGGTGGGGAACTGTCAGTGTACTATGAAGTGTACTATGCAGTAGTGCTTAATTGGTTTACAGGCCTTATTTGGTTTGTGATTTAATACACAATTGGTATCACTATAATAGATTCAGATTTAAAATGAAAGATTTGAGAAGCATATTGTTAATACCTATGGAAGCCACAACTTTCCCAAAACCAGTGCCCTACGGATGTATTAGACTGCAGCTTAGCATTCCCAGCTGCCATTTTACAACCCTCCTACTATCCCCAGGTTGCTTCATGATTTGGGACATGTTTTTTTTTAACTTGTGCCACCTCCCCCCTCCCTAAAATAAAAGACAAAATATATGCCTCAGGCTGGGAAAGTAAAGTACTGTTTTAACATTGCTGCCCTTGAAGTTTGTTCCATCTTCTTTTAAGTGCAATCCTTAACTGGTAAAAAGTTACCTGCCCTCAATTTAGAGATCCTCCAACTAGGGAGATAGTACTAAATAGCGAAATGGACAAACAAATGGGAAGAGTAGTTATGTATGGCCTCCTTTTCACTTATGTAAAAGAGGCAGCTGGTGCTACTGAGCTGCTGGTGCTACTGAGTGTTTTAGTTTAGAATGGCTGGAGCCCGAATATTCTCTATCTCTAATATAATTAATATGTATAAGTTTTATTACTAATTATAAAAGAATAAAAGTACAACTTATTAGGCACAACCATTTGATACAACAACATAGCTTCAGGATATTGAAACCAAAGGATGGATATAGTTTGGATCATCTCACCCCACTTAAATGTTTATTGTTTTAATTACCAGCAGAACTGGGAAATTGGGGCAATTAATTCTTCCCAGCTACTTTTTAAGAAAAAAAATCACTTGCACTTTGAGTCTACAGGATCATTTTTAAGTTGATTCAGTACCACCTTCCATTACTATAAATGTAAATGCAACATTTTTCTAGAAAAGAGGTTGAAGAGAGGGCTCCTTCCCTCACAACTGCAAATCACTGTGATTTGCAGTTGTCGCAATCTAGTTTCTTCTGTGGAGAGATGTTTATTATAAGGCAAGGTTATTGTTGCTTTTTTTTTAGAGTTTTAGTTGAAATTTTAAGTTATGGGGAATCTGGTGATGTATTTGAAATTATTCAGATATTGTAAATTGCTATTTATCGTTTGCCCACTCTGATATGAAGAGAGTTTTGATGAGCCAAGGTGGCGCAGTGGTTAAATGCAGCACTGCAGGCTACTGCTAGATCAGCAGTTCAGCGGTTCAATTCTCACCGGCTCAGGGTTGACTCAGCCTTCCATCCTTCCGAGGTGGGTAAAATGAGGACCCAGATTGTTGGGGGCAATATGCTGACTCTCTGTAAACCGCTTAGAGAGGCCTGAAAGGCCTATGAAGCGGTATATAAGTCTACTGCTATTGCTATTTGGGAACAGTGAACATTAAACCTTATCTGAATATATTTGCCTATTTTTTCCATTGCATTCGTTTATGAGAGTTCTTTTTTTATTACTGTTTTAAAATTATTTTTTTCCTCATCCTTCGGCACAACAGAAATTACGAGAGATCCCTTACCTAAAGAAATTCAAATTTAAAAAACAAGATAGAGCATTCTTGCCAGAGGCTGCTTCTACAAATTCTGTACCTCCTTCAGCAGGTTCTGATCCTATTACAGGGAATTCGGCTGCACCAGCAGGTATATTAACTGGAGATCATTGTGGGAAACTATTTTGATTAAAAACATGAAATGTTAGTTTTCATTAAAATGTTGTTATTCCCACAGGGGGGAAAAGTACCTACTGAAAAATTTTATTTATCATTAGAGTGAACTAAATTATAATATAATTTTCTTTATCCTTTCAGAACAAATTGCCCTATGATTCTTAACTGTACTATGCTGTGCTATGTTATACTACACTACACTATACATACTTTTGTATAATATGCTAAATATGCTTCTCTTTATTTTATTATAGAGCTCCTTATCTCACAAACAAGTGACTTTGTGCAACATGCAGCAAAGCTAAAAGAAATAATACTTAAATCCATTATCATTAACAACTCTTTTAAAACATTTAAAAAAAACTATAAGAACACTTGACATATTATAATTATATCCTAGGTATTACCTATTAATTTCCAGATATATTCTCCAAAATCTTTTAAACACTAAGAAGTTTACTGCCTTTTCTACAACAGCATGTTTTTGATCCACAATATAAATTTAATAGAATTGTACTTTCAAACAAACACTCATACATGAAATTATTTCTTAGTGTTCTCCACAGATGGCAAGTAACAGGTTGGTTGTTCTATAAAGTCTTTAGATCTTTAGATAGACCGGGAATGGTGGGATTTGTAATCTGAAATTTTGTTGAAATTTTGTTGAGTTTGGGGGAAGCAATTTGAAATAAGAACAACTTGCATGATCTATGTTTGATTTTCCCCACTTTTGTACTTTTAACCCTTTGAAATATTGAATTAGCTGTTTATTCAGTTTAGCTATAAGCATTTTTACTATTGCATATTTTTCTGTAACTCTGATACAAAGGACTTTGGAGGAACAAGCCAATCTATTTTCTATGCTTTAACTAGTTCTCAGTAGAGATTTATCTATTCCTCCCACCCTGTTCCACAAAAAACATTTGATGTGTTGAAACGTCAGGGGTAGCTGAGGTATGTAGGAATGCTAGAGCTAGGATAACATTCTCAGGAAAGGAAAGATATAGGCATGGAGCCAGTTCACTCTAGTGAAGAAAGCAAGCTGGAATGAATCAAAAGGATCCTAAGCAAGGTGGAGGGAAATAAAAGAAGAAAGTCAGAAAATGATTCAGTGGCATTCTTGCCCTGGATAAGAAAAAATGGGAAGCTGCAATGAGAGGCTGTCTGTCATACCAAAGATATGGGTATCATACTAAATAAAGTTGGTGCTTGGCAGTTGAATGAATGGCAGATTCTGTTGGGAGAGAATGGGAGGCTTTTTCTGACATTGTCAGCTGCTGCTTATTATAGCATAATAACTGAAATACTCATTTTCTCTTGAAGGAAGGCATTGAACATTTTTTCTCCCCCACCCCCAGCTTCCCATCAAACATGAATGAAATCCCATCTATTATGCATAAATATATTTAAATTGCATTGTAATATTCATGAATAAAAAAAAAATCTCTGAGCATAACTGTATTCTGCAATGGAAAAAAATAACACTGGCTCAAGAATTTAACATCCTAAGATTTGCAAGTGATATATTAAAAAGTCAGGGTAATATGTGCAGTAAAAGTGTAAAATTTTATATCTTCACATTTCCTTCTTTCTTTGAATAGTATATTCATAGCTTTCTGATTTCACTTGACCAGATAAACCATTAAACAACATGAATATGGTAGTCCTTGGGAAATTGTCGAAGACCAAGGATGAAATTAAATCTGCCATTGAAGAACTTGGGGGAAAGGTGACAGCGACTGTGAATAAAGCTGACTTGTGCATCAGCTCTCAAAGTGAGTAGATGGTAATACTGTCAACAGGGACATTCTCAATAGCAAGAGTGTTACATTAAACAGAGGCCTAAAAGAGGAGAGGAGATTGTATTAAATTTAGCAGCTAATGCAAGGAACTCAGAGTATTCAGCTGTCTTAAATATAATCTGATTATGTATGCTTTTTTATACAATTAAGTAATATCTTAGTTTGCTTCTATGTCTATTTTTTATCAAACATTTCCATATAAATGTTACTAATAATCTTTTTAACCATTTTGGTTTAGCAAAAAACCATTTTGCTTTTACTTCATTTTTGTTAGTTTACTGCTTCTTTACTTCTCAATTGTAACACTGTTTAGTAGTCCAAGGGTGTGTGTGTGGAGCGAAAGATTGGAGGTCTCTGAAAATGCCTTCCTTCAACCTACCTTCTTGCTGTAGTGTAGCAAGATGGTAGTCCCTTTGGTATTAATATGAATATAATTTGATATTAATAAGAACAAAGGAAATACAGAAATCCTTTTGGAACTTTGAGGAGTCAGCAGAAAGCATTAAAGGATAGCATCTTGAACTGTGAAACTACAAAACTTAAGTTTTTAAAAAGAGGAGAGATTAAGGGGATCTCTGTAGTTGACTCTCCTGCTTGACAGAAAGGATGTTGATTTCATGCATGAGAAAAAGCTGTTCAGTGAATGCCAGCTTGCATCACAACACACTTACATTTCTCTTTTAAAAATTGAGGAAATAAACATGAAACAGAGTACTTTTTTATACACTTTGTAGGTGTTCAGTGAGTGCTACCATCCAACTGCATCATTTTTTGGGAAATCTAGTCTACTCTTACCTAGTTTTAAATCTATCTTCAAAATTCACAATGTATGCCAGTTTTAATTTAGTAAGGATTTTGTGCATCTGTTCCCATAGGTCTGAATGCTTGAAATATTGATGATATTTTTATGGATACATAACTAATACATTTACTACCAGAACATAGGATTTAATAGAATTCTGAAGATATTATAGCATTAGAAGCTCTGAAATGATACTTAATATAATGTATGGTCATGGTAATTGACCTCAGTGTCAGGTATTTGTGTCAGGGGAGGAGGCTGTATCAGAAAAATAAAGGTGGAACTGCTACAACTGACCAGATGAAGCTCCATCTCTTTGGAATACAATACTAGATTAACAAGACTGGTATGGTCCAGCAGAGCCCTCATTCATTCAGCACCTTTGGGTTAGCTTCGTAGATGCTTTTGGCAGAGTGATGGGATTCAAAAGTTTTTACTACCAGCTCTGTGGATGTGGCTTGGTGGGCGTGGCTTGGTGGGTGTGACAGGGGAAGGATACTGTAAAATCTCCATTCCCACCCCACTCCAGGGGAAGATTACTGCAAAATCCCCATTTCCTCCTGATCAGCTGGGACTCGGGAGGTGGGGCCAGTCAGAGGTGGTATTTACCGGTTCTCCAAACTACTCAAAATTTCCACTACTGGTTCTCCAAAACTGCCCAGAACCTGCTGAATGCCACCTCTGTTTTGGCATGAATATAGACAGATAGCTACAAGTTCCTGTACCCTGAAAATTAGTGTCTTCTGCTGTTTCAGCTAAAGAAGGGTAACATATTGTGCCTTGCCTTTTCTATTTCTTCTCTCTCCCCCCTCTCTCTCAAATGTAAATCTTACAGAGGAAGTTGACAAAATGAGCAAAAAAATGGAAGAAGTAAAGAAAGCCCACTTATGTGTTGTGTCGGAGGACTTCCTCCAGGATATAAAAAGCTCCAGCAAGGGTTTTCAGGAGCTTCGATCACTGCATGCGGTGTCTCCCTGGGGTGCAGAAGTAAAGCAGGAACTCAAAGAAGTGTCTGTAAGTGGAAAATCCAGTGGACACCCAAACATGAAAAATTCTGGGAAGAACAAGGAAGAGCAAGGTAAAAGCCAAAATAGTAGTTGTTATTTTCACCTCAGGCTGCCATTTTTTTTACTAAGAACATTGGTTAACCTTTAGAATAGGATCCTTAATAGCCTTTTCAGGATTTGTCCTAAACAGAGGTCATTCAAGACTGAAATGTACATATTGGGGGGGGGGGATTAGAAAAACTGCCACATGTGATGGTCATAGAAATGGCCTTTCCATCCTCTACTTCATATTACAGGTTCCTTTGTTTTGCCTTGCTGTTGGACTTCTAAGAAGAAATAAGTGTAGCAGCTTTTAGCAGGCAACGGGAAGGAACCATCCATTGTTTAGATAAGGAAATCCCCTACCCATTATAGTGTGCCCTTCCATCCCTCAAAGATCAGGAAAAATGAATTCTTTCAACTTGCCAACTGGAACATGGGATGCTGAATAGAGGAGGCTTACTTTAGTTCTCAAGGCTAGCTTGATAAGATCTTGATATGCAGTAGTCTCAATTAACTGAGTGTCTGCATAGTAGATTCTGTATGTTGCTTCTGGCACAAATATGCAAGCTGAAAGATCTGTTCTAGAAATGCTTAGTATTCTGTACTTCAGATTCCTTAGAACTTGCCTGAAACTTAGTTGTTGTTAAAGCCATTTATTTGCAGTTACCTTATTGCTGAGATAGCATTCTCTGTCTTGGCAACCCTATTATATTGAACTATGTCATCTGCAACTTTTAGCAAGAAGGCAGCTATACTTCAAGGGTAAACTTTCCTGGATAGAGTAGGCTGACTTAAGCCTTAAACTGGAAGGTTATGTATCGCTAAGAACTTTTATGCCATGGTAGTATAACATGAATGCTAAAATATGAGATCCATTTTCCAAATCCGAGGAAATATCTGAATCCTCATTTTTTGTTTTCTTCCTCTGCAAATAAGGTGGTCCTTGATTAATAACTGCTTGTTCAGGGATGGTTTAAACTTATGACAGCATTGAACATTTCTATCCATCCCCTGCAGTCACATGATCATGTTTTGCTCCCTCCCTGCCTGCTTTCCACAAGCAAAGTCAATGAGGAAGTCGGCAGGAAGCCAGGGGTCACAGTCGTGTGAGATCTTCACTTAACAACATTAGTTGGTACTGCCAGAATTGCCATTGCTAAATGAAATGATCACATAACTTTGCACATTGCTTAGTGATAGGAATTGTAATCCCAATTGCTGTCATTAAATAGGATTGTCTATAAACAATTGTATTCTTATTTTGTTACAAACAGAAGCCCATAGTTCTATTTTTAATATTTAGTTGAAGAACCTACGTTTTTTAGAATTCTTCCCTTGTAATCTCAGGAAAACATAAAGATGCCATTGACAAAACCACATGTATGCAAGAAATATGCCTTCTCTGTATCAAATAAGATTTTTAAGTACCTAACTGTTTGGATTAGGGTCTAAAAATTGCTGCAAAAGAATTATCTGAGGGCAAGGAATTATCTATGAGCCAAGGTGGCGCAGTGGTTAAATGCAGCATTGCAGGCTACTGCTAGATCAGCAGGTCAGCGGTTCA